CTATTTTGGGGTGTTCGCTGGTGCTCCCCTTAAATAGGGAACGCGTTTCAGCAGGCAGCAGTGTCCCTCCCGGCTGCCCACAGACCCTGTGGACACCGCTCCTCTGCTCCGGCCGAGTTCTGCCGGTTAATTCTGCCGCGGGCAGGGGCCTCTGGTGAGTGCAGGGGCTTGGGGGGCACGGGGCTGAGATGTGGATGGAGACAGAACATACCCGATGACACGTTGACACTGGATGCAGGAGCAGTCTGACAGGGTTTCCTGTAAGCGCCCTTTATTCCTCGACTGCCCATCGCAAGGAGCCGCTGGAACCAGGTGCCTGGAGGAGACGGACACTTGGATTTACCTCCACACGTGATTAGTTCAGCAATTATTTTAAAATAATTACCATTAATGTGAAATGAATGCAAGGAACTTGCTCTTCGCTTAATAACAGAGTTGGATAATGCGTGGAGCCCGACACGCAAACAGATCTAAAAATCCTTCCGAGCTGTGAGGGAGAGTCCGGGGGCTCTGCAAGCCTTGCGAGGACCCCCCCCAGCTCCCCACGCTCCTGAACGTTGCCCTGTGTTCTTCTCGCAGGTTCATCTGGCTGGTTCCTGAGCACACAGAGATCCCGGTTCCGAGACGAGCCCCTGAACAGCGAAGAGCCATCGCTTGCACGGTACCTGAAGTGTGACCAGGGTGTCACGGAGCACCGCAGGGGAACACACCTTCGCTCCAGGCGCTGTAAGATGGTTTTTCCATCCACGCTGCTTCAGCCCACTGTCTGGGCCAGCAGCTGATGAGATGGCACAGAGCGCCGAGCTCCAGCCAAGCTTGGAGGACGTTTTTAATATTCTCTCCCAGACCCCCCAAGATAAACTCCTCACCCTCAAACACAAACTGAAGCACTTGGTATTTGGGCCCAGCAGCAAATTACTGCAAGCCATGGTCCTGCTTACTCTGGGGCAAGAAGCAGATGCAAGAATTTGTCTGGATGCCTTGGGAGATAACTGGGCAGCCCGGTATGTCCACCAGACCAAACTGGGGGCTAGAGGAGTGCAGGAAGATGGGGAGGCTTTGCAGACCCCGCAGGTGGATGCAGGTGCCCTGGCGCTTCTGGCACAGATCTACTCGGTGTTGGCTGAGGAAAAACTGTGCAGTGCCGAAGCCATGGCCAAAGCCTGGCAGGCTGCCGCCAACGCCTGCGACACCAGCAAGGAGACGCAGGGGGACACGCTCAACAGCATCCCAGCTGAGGAGCAGGAAGAACCTGCCGCTGCTACCAGCGTGGGCCCAGGCGACAGATTCCAGACGCTGCGATCCGATGCGGTTGTAGGATTTCTCCGGCCGGGCAGCCCAAACTACGTGGTGAGAAGTTCCCCGGTGCAGATTGGAGGCAGCTCAGACCTTTCGCACCCACAGACCCTGCGCTCCTCGGGGAGCCCCTCTTTCCCCAGCTGCTTTGAGGTCAGCGCATCCCCAACGGTTGTTTTTCACAGCCAGCCTTCTCCCCGCAAGCGTGTCCCCCAGCCCAGCCGCCTGTGCCATGGGAGCACCAGCGCTGCTGGCCAGCCTGGCGGGGGCAGAGCGAGCCACGGCCGGCAGGAAGCAAGCTGGGCCAGCAGACCCAACTCTCATCCCGGGCAGGACACAGGTGCCCAAGTGTCCCAACCAGAGAAGGTTCCACGGGTCGGTTCACGTCACCCCGTTGTCCCTGTTCCTGAAACGCCGCTGCCCACGCTGGGCGCTGGGAACCAGCCTGTGGAGACCAGTGATGTTTCCAGCACGGTGGCAGCAGAACCTCAGAAAGAAAGCACAGACAAAAAGCAAGATGACAAGCAATTATCTACAGGTGTTCCCAAGTCAGGAGCTACAGCGGGTACTGGTCCTGCCCATACGTCCGAGGAGGACTCCTATGTTCCAGCAGGCCCTTCTTCTAACTCTGCATCTGCTTCCATGCCAGCCTGTTCCCTGCCTCCTCCTACCTACTCCTTCTCCTCAACCCTTCCTTCTCTTCCCGGAGCTCCTTCCAACTCATCGTATCCCTGTGCCCTCCACTCAGGCCCCTCTCCAGCCTGGCCTCCTCCTCTGCCCACATCAGAGCCAGATGGAGAAGAGAGAAAGTTCTTCACTTTCGTTATCCTGCACGCTAACGAAGATGAGATTGTTGCCCATCGGGTCAAGGACCTGCTGGAGAACATGGGGGTTCCCAACGGTGCCACACTCTGCGAGGACTTCTTCATTGCTGGCCGCAGCCACCTGACTTGCTTCCAGGACGCTATGGAAAACTCAGCTTTCATCATCCTCCTGCTGACCAAGAACTTCCCATGCGACCTGTGCACATTTCAGGCGAACACTGCTCTGATGGAGTCCATCCTCAACCCGTCCAAGCACGACTCGGTCATCCCTTTCGTACCCAAGGAGAACCCCCTGGAGCGGAGTCAGATTCCCAAGACTCTCGGTGTGCTCATGCCCTTGGACGAGAACTCTCCCGTGTTCTCCAGGACAGTGCAGAACACCTTCACCACCAGCAGGATCAAAGAGAGGAAAGCCGCCTGGGACGCGACGCAGAGACGGAAACTAGAGGAACGGAACCAAACGCTGCAGAACTTGGCTGCTCTGAACCTGGGCTCCCTTCCCCCGGTGCCTCCACGGCCACGGCTGCCGGAGCAATCACCCCAGCAGTGGTGT